ACACATCCCATAACATCATTCAAACTTAGTCGAGCCATCGAAACACTCAAAACAACACTAAAACACCAAATCAACCTCGGATTCAACCCTAAGAACTTAGAAACTTTCAACTTACACAAACGACGCCGAAACCTATCAAATCAACTCCGAATGACCTGAAATTTTACACACCCATCACAAACGACACTACGGACCTATTCCAATTTTTGTAATTCCATTTCGACCAGGATATCAAGATTTTCACTACCAATCGGAAAACGACGAAATTCCAATTTTGCCAATTCAAGCCTAAATCTTCCACGGACCTCCAAATTACATTCCGAACATGCTCCAAAGTCCCAAATCACCTCACGAAGCTATCCGAATCATAAAAACCCAAATTCTGCAATTGTTTACTCATAAGTCAACTTTCAGTTGACTTTTCTAACTAAATGTGACGACCCGACCAGTCGTCTCATGAGTTACCGCTCCATTTCCCCCATTTTAGCTTCTTTACGATTCATTGTCCGTGTTTTATGTGATCGAGTTTATTAGTTCGAGTTCGGAGAGGATTTGGTAAGAAACGAGTCACTTAGTCTCTTTTAAGAAGGCTTAAGTTGGAAAAGTCAACCGGATGTTGACTTATGTGTTAGAAGGCTCAGAAGTGAGTTCCAAGGGTTCGGTTAGCTTCGGGAGGTGATTTGTGACTTAGGAGCGCAATCGGAATGGGTTTTGGAGTTGTAGAGAAGATTTAGGCTTGAATTGGCGAAATTGATATTTTGGCAAATTCCGGTTGATAGGCGAGATTTTGATATAGGGGTCGGAGTGGAATTCTGAGAGTTGCAGTAGCTTCATTGTGTCATTTGGGATGTGTGTGCAAAATTTCAAATCATTCAGACGAGATTTGATAGACCTTTTGATCGAAAGTGTAATTTAAGAGTTCTTGGAGTTCTTAGGCTTGAATTCGATGTAATTTGATGGTTTTGATGTTGTCTGAGGTGTTTTGAGGATTGGACCGAGTTTGGAGGATGTTTTAGGATGCGCTGGTGCTTTTGGTTGAGGTCCCGGGGGCCTCGGGGTGATTTCGGATGGCTAGCGGGAAATTTGGAGTTGAAAAATATAACAGGAAAATACAGCAGCTATAGCAGGTCCAAAAGGACTACAGGGGCGCGGCCGTGGTAGGCTTCGCGCGGACCGCACGGTGATGCGGACCGCACAAAGATGGAATGCGGCCGCATGAAGACTGGCGCGGACCACACAAAGTCGTGGTGCGGCCGCATGAATGGCTTTGGTAGCTTCTCTGAACTTCACCGACGCAGACCGCGTGACCATAGGGTGCGGCCGCATGAGTGAGACGCGGGCCGCATGAAGTGGGACGCGGCCGGATGAGTTTTGGTGTGGCCCGCACTAGCTGATACCTGAGGGGTACCTATAAATACGAGGTTTTGGATTTTATTTAATATTTTGACCTAGAGAGCTCGGATTTTGGCGATTTTTCGAAGGTTTTTCAAGAAATTCATCGGGGTAAGTGATTTTAATTCGGGTTTGGCTAGAATACATGAATCAAACACTGAATTCATCATTTAATTCGTGATTTGAGAGGGAATTTGGAAAGAAAATTGTGAAACCTTTCAAAAATGTAAAATGATGATTTAAAGGACCAAATAGTGTCGGAATTGTATAATTTTCATATGGTTAGACTCGTGAGAGTGCGAGGTTTTTGGGAATATAAATTTTTACCGATTCCGAGACGTGGGCCCGAGGGGCGTTTTGGTCATTTTTCATAATTTCGCGTATTATCTTTGAATTAAAACATAGGATCATTTGTTTGAGATGATATTTACGATATGAAATTGAATTGATTAGATTTGGGCCATTTGGAGTCCGATACTCGTGGCAAAAGCGTGGTTTCTAGTTGATTTTGAGCCGGTTCGAGGTAAGTGGCTTGTCTAACCTTGTGTGGGGGACCTTTCCCCTTAGGATGTGCTATATTTGATAATTGAAATGCTCTGTACGTGAGGTGAATTTAGCATGTTGCTAGTCTAGAAAGGCATGTTTAGTTGACTTAATTGCCCATTTTGCTTAAATTGCCTGAATTGCATTACGTGAAGCATGTTAGGCTAGAAGTAAATGTTTACTTGGTACGAAATTAGCGTTTAATTTAATATTCTTGTGTTGCTGCTCTGTGTTTTAAATTGGGACTACGGGTTAGATTCCCGGGAGATTCCCCTGCACATTTACTTTGGGACTACGGGTTAGATTCCCGGGAGATCCCCTGCACATTTACTTTGGGACTACGGGTTAGATTCCCGGGAGAACCCCCGCACATATATTGAGGATACTGATAGATCCTTGGGATACCAAGAGATCCCTGGCTTATATTGAGGATACCGAGAGATCCTCGGGATACCAAGAGATCCCTAGTACATGTCGAGGATACTAAGAGATCCTTGGGATACTTAGAGATCCCCGGTTACTTTCCTTATGGTTTGTTTTGATCATTGTTTCTGTTATTGTACTCTTATTATCCTGCATAGATTCTTACTGTAGGTTCTCAATTGCACTGCTTATCATATCCTGCCATCTTTATATTTTATATAACCTCAGTAGGGCCCTGACCTTCCTCATCACTACCCAACCGAGATTAGGCTTGGCACTTACTGAGTACCGCTGTGGTGTATTCATGCCTCTTCTGCGCATGTTTTTCATGTGCAGATCCAGGTACCTCTACTCAGGAGCACTATCAGTGAGGCAGGAGGACTACGGAGTCTTCGAGGTAGATCTGCTACGTCCGCAGACCGACGAGTCTCCCTCTTTATTCTATCTTTAGTACTTAGTTCTCTTTCCTTCCGCTTGTTAGATATTCTGGAGTTTGGAGCCTCACTATACATTTCTATAGCATGTGTTTTCCTGTGAGTTTCCGGGTTTTGGGATTGTTTTAGTCTTGAGATATTGAGTCGTATATACCGAGCGACATTCAGTACAATTTCCTTTTTAGATAATTAAATATGGTATTTTATTTTTCCGCAATTATTATGTTCCGCAAGTGTTAGGCTTACCTGGTCACGGAGACTAGGTGTCGTCATGACATGTTCACGGTTGGTGAACTAGAGTCATGACACTAAATGGCTAACTTAAGGGACTAAGTGTCTTATAATACTCCAAACCCACTCTGAACCCAAACCAACTGACCCGATACTACATAATATAGCTGAACAAGATATAAAGAAGCATAAATGGGAGAAACGGGGTTGCAATTAATAAAACGATCGGTCGGGTCGTTACATCTTAGTCCTTTTTAAATGCATGTTGTACAATTATGTTCTGTTTTTAGCTATGTTGTGTGTACACAAGTGGCATGAGTTAACTTTGCTGGACTTTGTTTTTGCATTTACTTGTTTGATTTTTGATGATTCCAAAAGGGGGAAGAAAATTGAAGGGGAGAAACAGGTTCTCGGAGGGAATATGGTTATTATTCTGGGGAAAATATCGAGATCTAGTTCTCAGGGAAAATATCAATTCTAAGTTTTTCATCATCAAAAAGGGGGAAATGATAACTTAGGTGTCTTTTACTTTGATGATTTAACAAACTTCATATGAGAATTAAATAGGGAATCTGATAGAACAAGCTCCTTTGTGTTCAGAACAACAATTCAAATGTCTGACACAAGTTTCAGTGAAAGAAGTTAAGGTAACAATAGAGGTAATAGGTATCAGTTCCTCTTGTCACAGTACAAGTTAACTCTTATAGCTATTAAAGCTGTTGCACTGCACACACAATAGTACAACAGCATTGTTGAAGCATGTTGTGTACCGGACACTCCCTTGCATCATCATTGATGACCTCACTTATATATTACAACCATGAGGCAAGGAATTATATTTAATTGCAAAACCAAAAACATATTTTATTCTCAAGTGTGCAGCCACCTTCATTCTCTCAAAGGCATTGAATAACAAAACAACAATATAACGAAGGACCATATCCCAGTATTAATTATATCGTATATACTTAGTATTGTTATGTCTTTTTTTTTTTTTTTTATGTTTTTCACTTGTAACTCCTGCTCAGCTTACTTATAAGCATCTCATAGGACACATTATAAACCATAAACCTTGTGGTTGTGTTAACTAGAGTTAGTCAAGCGGTTAGCTTTGTAATAGAGTTATTACAAAGAGGTTTGCAATATAGTTATTGTTAGTAGGTGGGCAATTAAGAGTTTAATTCCTAGGTTACAATAGATTTTTATCTAAAGTTCCTCAGTTAGTAAAGTTAAAATCCGAGAGTGTCGGTCATAGTTTTTAATCCCGTGAGCTGAGAGTTTTTTACGTACATATTTTCCATTTTCTTCATAACAAAATACATTTTCTAAAACTCACATTATGCGAGTTGATTCAATATACAATTATACAGGTTAGCGATACAAAAATTAGCCAGCTTAAACAAGGCAATTTCTCTTGCACTAATAGTCATTCAATTTTTATTTTATTTTACTAACTTCCTAAAATATATGATTAATAAAAAATTTACTTAACATTATCTAAGTATCATAGAAAGTCACTAAACTATTTGTTGTAGCCAAAATATCATTCAGTTTGCCTAAGCATCATAGAAAATCACTAAATAATATTTTTTAACCAAAAGGCTATAATAGAAAATGTCACATTAGTATCCTCCTAGTGACTTTATGTGATATCTAGGAAGAGTTAAGTGATTTTTGGTTACAGAAAATAGTACATTTACGTTTATCATATTTAGGTAAAGTTGAATGATCATTTAGTATAAAAAATAATAACTTTGAGTAATGACGTAAAAATTGAGTGATCACTCATAGTAAACCCATAGAATATTATAAACAAACCATCTAAAAGGAATCCGAGCATATGAATCATTGCTTAGAACACATAATAATGTTAAGAGATACTTCAATATAACCATCAAGTATGGTTACAAATCTTTATTTCATAAATCACTTAATACCAGGAAGCATACAAAATGTAAATTCAAAAGCGTGAAAAGACACACAGTACATTATATGCAATATCAATCATGGTACACAGAAGCATTTGGCCTAGGCTTAAAATCTTTGGTAAAGGGCTTTTCTTGTTTAAGACCAGCATCATCATCATGATAACCAGTTATAGTAGGCCTTGGCTCAAAATCTTTCGTAAATAATAATTTCTCAGCTTCTTTCAGCTTGGCGTCGTCGTGGTAGCCAGACATATTAGGCCTTGGTTCAAAGGTTTCACCTCCAATAGAAGAAGATGTGTAACAGTCAGTTTTTTCTTTGGAGAGAGGAACAGAATGCCGAAGCATAAGATGTTTGATTGCTTCAGGCATTAGCTCATCTTTCATCACAACTCTCCAGTATTCTCCAGGGTCTTTTCTTGCATTAGTGCTGCTTGTGTACTGCTCGGGAAAGAGAGACCAAAAAAAGACTTTTGAATATATGCTATATGAACATCTTTACGTTCGAGTACATAATTTATATAAACTGATATGCGCAGATATTTGGTACATCCAGGGGAAAATGTAGGCTTTAACATATGGGTCCGTGATAATCAAGTAATATTTTCCATGAAATTCTATTTATGTATCCGAAAAATTCACTAAGTATATACAAAAAAATTAAGACCTCAGTTATTAAAGCTAAAGATCATTCTAAAATAAAGAATCCACAAAATTCTAATGTTAGATCCACTTTTGTAGGTACCAGTCATGTAAATATTTAGTATTGGCAAATAGAGTTCTATGTAAAATTCTATTGCATTTTGAAGAGTTATTTGCCAAAAAAAAAGTATTCTTATTTACACATGTTCGATAGGGATACACCAAGAAAAATGAATAATCCGGTTAAATAGGCTAAACCACTCACTAGCTAGATGTGCTTAAACGGCTAGGTTTATGGAAAAATCATATGTTAGTTATGCTCAAGAAGCAAGCATTCTTTTTGGACAGTCGAGAATATATTATTCCATATGTTTCAGTTTTACATGAACCTATCTCCTCTTGATTCAGTATGAACCCACTTCTAATAAAGAAACTCTTTTAGTTTTAGGATTTCAATATTACGTTTAATAAAATATTTTCATAACTACACAAATGGTATCACATATTTAAGACTACATATTTCTATAATTTTATAGCCACACAAATACTATGGTATGTTTAAGATCATAACTTTCAAAAGATTTTATCTTATTGAAAACCTCTGTGCCCAGTCAAATACGTTCATATAAATTAAAAGAGATGGAGCATAAGTTAAATAATTCAATTGTTAATATTTGATATGTAAAGACATTGCAATTTGAAAGGCAAGACAGTTGAAAGAGAAGCGCATGATAGTGCACCAAGAAAGTAGTAATTAATAATAACCCACCATAAATGAGGTATATAATTAATCATCTTTAAAAGCATACCAGAGCAAATGAAAAGAGCTGGATAACAGCAATATGTAATTTCATGGTCACTTCACTAGGAATATGTACGATCCAGAAGTTGTTGTTATTGATCTTTGCTTGAAGCATATTATGAGCTTATATAGGCAGGTTAAGTTATTATAAAATCATATTGCATGTAAAAAGTTATTGTCAAGCATGTTCAACATGATTCACACACTCCTGTAGGACCGATGAGAGACGCACAATAATCATAAATAAATAGGAGGAGGCCCCTATTAGCTTCTTTGATACATATATTATTGCCGACCAAATCTTTTAAGTAGGCTCCATTTGCTCATAAATAATAGTGCAACCTATTCACGTTTTAATATTTGCAAATATCTAGAAATTAGTATATATGATATTGCTTTTCAGTATCTTAGATAGTCGTGAAATATTAAAAAAAAAATTGTTCGATTGATGCTAGATCATTTCTAAGATAGCCATACGAGTTCTGTTTCTATTTTTTTCCCTAACTTTTGCAGTATAAAATGATTTGCTTCAAATAAAAGAACAACTAGAGATGATTTAAACAACATCAATTTGCTATAGATTAAAAGCAATTATGCTGTAATTTAGGCACATTAATAGAGGATGCCATTCTCGAAAAATCTCATAAATCTTTTATTCACAAATATATCAAGACTTCAAATATTGCCTTTCTCAAAGCTGAAGTAATTAAGAGACAATCTTTCTCAAAATCAACTCAAAATGCGGTTAGACATTTTTTTACAATCAAATAATTAAAGAAAATCTACATTTGGCCCGACTGTAGCCTTCGATTAAGGAAACAAGATGGAGATATCAAGAGAAGCCGTTCTTCATGATCGATCCGAAGTATTGCCCGATTTTCTTGGAGATCAAATATATTATAACGAGGTCCGCATTATCATACATTCGATAAATATGTTGTTTAAGTCTTTAATGACGGAAACAATTCAGTGAGAAGAATCAAGGGAACAAACAGAATTATACTCACAATTGATTAAAAATTACCTCTTTTGCCTTATGTTGCCCATGAATCAAATAACAGTTCACCAGATCTTTAGCTTCATTTTCAAGCCTGAAACAATAACCTTTTGCGTTGTGGATGGTGAAAGAAACTCTTTCGTAACTTAATCAATCAAGCAAAAGTTTGAAAATTATTTTTGAAGTGCAAAAGGTACCAATTAATTATTTTAAATATTAGTTAATTTACCCGCTCTTCGCACAATCAAATAACTCATTTTATAAGTTTAGTTGATATAAAAAATATCTAGGTTTATATTATCAAAATGAATTAAGTACACGAACAAAAAAATTAAGCAGATGTTGACATATTTTCTTGTTGTACCATATGGCTCTTGTGACTTGTGAGAAAGTAATTTTTTTTTGGTCATAGGGAAGTACTTATATTAATAAAAATAAAGAGTGAGCATCAGTACAGGGAGCAGGATGCGCTATAGGCATCGAAGTAACTAAACTAGTCCTATTAGAGTTTACTACATGCACACCGACATGGGGCGCATTACAAACCAAAACATCATTACTACACACTACTAGAAATCCGAAAAAGCGACCACAAAAAACGACCAAACTTGGTCGCTTACAGGTCAAAAAGCGACCAAAAAGCGTTCAAACTGGCTTGGTTGCTATTTTGCTGGTCCCTTTACACTAGAGACCAAAGTTGATCGCTAATTAGCGACCAACTTTGGTCTCTAAGGTAAAAGGACCAAATATTCCGGGTAAACAATATACCAACCAACTTTGGTCGCTTTAATATTTTAATAATATAAATATAGCGGCCAAAGTTGGTCTCTATATTTAAATTACGTTTTTTTAATTTACTATTAATCAAAATATAACGACCAACTTTGGTCTGTAAACCAAATATTATATTTTAATCTGAAAAATAGCGACCAAAGTTGGTCGTTTTTTTTAAATTTTTTAAATTTTTTTAAACATAAGCGACCAAAATTGGTCGCTAATTGCAAGAATTTAATTATTTTTAAAACATAAGTGACAAAAATTGGTCGCTATTTTCCAGAAATTATTTTTTTTAATAGAATAGCAACCAAAGTTGGTCGCTTTTTAAGAAATCTGGGTTAATTAGCGATCAACCTTGGTCGATGTCACGACCCGGATTTTTCACCCTCGGGAGTCGTGATGGAGCCTACTCATAGAAGATAGGCAAGACACAAAATTAGAAAGTCTTAACTCCACATGTGCCTCTACCCAGAACTGGTGTCACAACATTTACTGACTGTCTAAGAATGCTACATACAAGTATCTGAGACAAAAGAAATATAGTCTGTCTCGGATACAAAAGAAAACAGAACATCTAAATAGATAGAAGAGATGACGGGCCTGCGGACGCCTGCAAGACTACCTCGGGATCTCGGTGGACTGAAGGCTGGCTCTCGAGCTACTGCTGCTGACCAAGTACTACTCCGATATCAGCACAGAGTGCAGAGTGTAGTATCAGCACAACCGAGCCCATGTGCTGGTAAGTGTCTGGCATAACTCCGNAACAAATAAAGATAGGAGGGGGAAACATGCTTCGGGGAATAACAGGTAAAACAGAATATCAAAGGAAGAATGAAGGAATCAAAATCAACCACTAACAAGAATAAGGGAAAACAAAGGCAGATTTCATTTTCTTTTCACATCTTGTTGCAGGCGTGCAACCCGATCCGGATTCCTGTATCTCGTGGCAGGCGTGCCACCCGCTCCCATTTCATTTTATCTCGTGGTAGGCGTACCACCCGCTTCCATTTCATCATATCTTGTGGTAGGCGTACCACCCGCTCCCATTTTATCATATCTTGTGGTAGGCGTACCACCCGCTCCCATTTTATTATATCTTGTGGTAGGCGCACCACTCGCTTCCATATCATTTTATCTTGTGGTAGGCGTACCACCCGCTCCCATTTCATTTATCTTGTGGTAGGCGTATCACCCACTCCCATTTCATCATATCTTGTGGTAGGCGTACCACCCGCTCCCAGTTATAAGCCAACAATAATCACAGAAAATCCCGGCAAGGGAACAAGAGCAATATAACAACATTCCGGCAAGTGAACAATGATATTTCAACAACATCCCGACAAGGGAACAATACTATAAAAACAAACATCCCGGCAAGGGAACAATAGTGATAATACATATGAAGCGCAATAAACCAAAACGGAGTCATAACAATTACAACACAAGACTCACTGGCATGCTTGACACCAATGTATAGATACTCGTCACCATGCCTATACGTCGTACTCCACAATTAGCATGTAGCAAATAAGACACAACTTCTAATCCCTCAAGCTAAGGTTAGACCAAACACTTACCTCGATGTCTCGAACACAACTCAAGTTTCAATTATAGATTTACCCCTTGATTCCGCCGCCAATTCGCTCATATCTAGCCACGGGTTACTTAATTACATCAATAAACGTTAAATGAATCAATTTGAATGCATGAAAAAAATGAGTTTTTCCAAAGTTTTTACCCAAAACGTAAAATTTTCCCCCGGTCCCACGTTGTCAAAACCCGAGGTTCGTACTAAAACCCGATTACCCATTCCCCCATGAGCTCAAATATGTAATTTGTTTTGAAATCGGACCTCAAATCGAGGTCCAAATCCCTAATTTTTTAAAAACCTAGGTTTTACCCAAAATACCCAATTTTCCCCATGAAAATCATTGATTTGAAGTTAAAATCATGTTAAAAGAGTTTAATGATTGAATAAAACTAGTTAAAAATGACTTACAATTGATTTGGAGAAGAAAGGTTGTTTGAAAAATCGCCTCTTATGTTTTATGGGTTTTGAAAAATGCACAATGACTGAAAATCCCAACTATTTATACCCCTCTCAGACTCCTTGTGCGGACCGCACAAAATGGACTGCAGCTGCACAGGCCTTCCTGAGGGAACTACAGTCCAGTGCCATGTGCGGACTGCACAAAGTCGACTACGGCCGCACAGCAGCGCCCTGTGCGGACCGCACAAAGTTGACTGCAGCCGCACAACCTCCACCGCTCACCGCACTGGTGGGTTCAGAGACCTGCAACTTCTGGTTTTATGTTTAAAACATCCTGAAACTCACCCGAGCCCTCGGAACTCCAAACCAAGTGTGCATACTAACTCAAAAACATTATGTGGACCTACTCGTGCGATCACATCATAAAAATAACATGTAAAATCATGAATTAAACCTCAAAACTCAACATTTTCATCAAGAACTCTCAAAGTTCATAACTACTCAACCGGAAGTCCAATTCACGTCAAATAAACTCCGTTTTTCACCAAATTTCACAGAAACGTCTTAAATTATATATAAGACCCGTATCGGGCGCCGGAACCAAAATACAGGCCTGATACTATCATGTTCTAAGCAAATTTCATTTCAATTTTCCTTAAACAATTTGAGAAAACAATTTCCTTTAAAAATTCATTTCTCGGCCTTGGAACCTCGGAATTAGATTCCGGGCATACGCCCAAGTCCCATATTTTCCTATGGACCCTCCGGGACCATCAAATCACGAGTCAAGGTCCGTTTACCCAAAACATTGACCGAAATCAAATTTATTCATTTTACAGTCAAACATATCATTTTTCATAGATTTTCACATTTAAGCTTTCCGGCTACGCACCTGGACTGCGAACGCAAATCAAGATTGTGCTAAGGGAGGTTTTAAAGGCCTCAAAACGAAGAATTTCATTGCAACACAAGTGATGACCTTTTGGGTCATCACATTCTCCACCTCTAAAACAACCGTTTGTCCTCGAACGGACAGAAGAAGGAAGTACCTGAGTCGGGGAAAAAATAGGGATAATGGCTCTTCATATCGAACTCGTAATCCCAGGTCGATGCCTCAGGAGGCTGACCTCTCCACTGAACACGAACAGAAGGAAGACCCTTTGACCTCAACTGATGAACCTGCAGGTCTAGAATAGCTACCGGCTCCTCCTCATAAGACAAGTCCTCGTCCAACTGGACAGTACTGAAATCTAACACGTGCGATGGATCGCCCTGATACTTCTGTAGCATGGACACATGAAACACTAGATGCACGG